GGTGAGAGGGAACTTCTATTGAACCTAGATAAAAACGAAACAAAAATGTTATCCCCAGTAACTTTATTATAAAAATATAAGTAGAACTTACTGCAATAAATGTGTAACAATAAAACAGCAAAAAGCATAACAGCTCAAACAAAAGCTCTTCAGTCCACATGATATTTAAGGTTGCCTGACATTTCCCCAGCTTTAAGGAGGGAAAAAGCATTGGCGAGGGGAGGCAGACGGTGGGAGGAGGAGGACAAATACCCACCTATGTACATAGATTCTTTCTGAAAATCAGGGACATTTTAAGCAATGAAATATTATACCTCTTTGACTTAAAGTACAGTTGAAGGATACTACAGATCATGCTAGTGACTCAAAGGGGACAACAAACGTCCAACTTCTGAATGAACTCCTTGAAACAATCAGAACAAGGGAAAACCCAAATAAGTTGAACCGCTTTAAGGACCTGGACCACCTGTGTAAGACAACCACCTACAAATACAGCCAATTTCCATTCCCCACCTACCTCCCCCCCCCCTCCAAGTTTTTTACTATATGATGGCACTGTCGAAAACATTAACTTATCCAAAGCAGCCGCCACCACTATATCTTATCAACCATCAGCCTACAACACCTGTCAAAGATGGCCATGTAAATCTCTCATCGCCCAGCCCATTGCCATAAATAAGTTATACTGGCCTCTGACACTGTGGAAAAGCCATCACAATCCATTCATCTTTTGCTGTTGTTAGCCAGTCCTATGAATGAACCAATTGTTGACTAGTACCTTACATAGGTCCCTCGCATCCCACTGTTTACCCAGGTTGACCAGGCAGTAGCAAATTTTCAACTCTTGGTGAGGGACGTGTTTGAACTGTCATAACCCATTAAATTAGCCCCTCTCACAACTGTAGGCCTAAAACAGTAGCGGCTCGTGGTTTATAGAACTGACCGGCCGTCATTCATGTCGACTATTCCTTTCCTTCACAACACACACACACATACACACACACACACACACACACACACACTCACACACACACACACACATTCTCTCTCTCTCTCTCTCTCTCTCTCTCTCTCTCTCTCTCTCTCTCTCTCTCCTTATTTTATACCCATACTTTCGCCATCCCCACCCCCTCCCCCACTCACACACACACACACACACCACTGTAAACATTGTAATATACTGTGAAAGAGCTAAAATATATGGTAGTGTCAAGAAACAATATTATGAATAACGTATGATGGAAGTTACTGAGATTAATAGAAACTGACTTGATCGGCACAGAAAAAAAACAACACTACTATGCCAGAAAACAAACTGAAAGTGAGAGGCAATAAACTGCAGGTCCTGGCCTTCAGTACTTTACTCGTACTTTCTACACCCCTACACAAAATATCGACGTGCACTGGACTCGTTAAATATATGTAATAAGAACTGTCCTGTCTGATGACAAAAAGATAATTGATACTGTACCAGTGACGCTGTCCCAAGCAGATCAAGTCTACAATCAGATAGATCTAGTATACAAAGCTGGACAAAGTTAGCACACAACAGTTTCTGATCATTATATCATCAAAATTTTTTCTTCAACGCACTTCTCACTTCTCAGAACAGAACACTTGTGTTGTAACAAAGTGGGAAAGTGTGTCAAATGCTAATTATAGAACTTGGTGTCTAGCTGGGGTGACGGTGGAAAAGGGGAGGGAAGGGAGGGGGTAGGCCTGGCCCAGACTCTGACAGCCGAGTGCCTATCGCTCTTTGTTAAAATTCTCTTTATATATCTTCACTAGACAATTCCTCCTTAAGCCGGCCAGACTCCTATGGGCCGGTAAGTTATTAGAGGGGAGAAAACGATGAGTAAATGTCAAACAGGAACTATAGGTGGTTAGAAGGTCAATAAACAAAAAAGATTAGTGCCATGCTAACAATAAATGTTCTGATAGTAATTAGAGAAAGGCTGAATGATAAATACATGTATTGCTGATAAAATAATACATGTGTCTGTGCTGCTCAAGACAGTCTCAATCTTAATTTTGTAAGCTACAAAGAGTTTTGGCAATTTAAGGGATGCCTCTATTCCTTCTCAGGGCTGTCGATGGATTTGTCCATGGGACTGACGTCATCGCTAGGCCAAAGCCCGCCGTGTGTTTGGCTTCGTACATAGTAGCCTACGAAGTTCCGCGAAGTGACGGCGTGATGGGAGGGGAGACAATTTAAAGTTACGAGCCGGCGCGATAACAAACGTGAAGGAATGAGGCTCTGTCGCGACAAATAAACAGCAGTGAATCCCACTTCTCTATTTGAGCGCCTTCAAATCGGCAAGAAGCTTTTTGAATGTTGATACATGTTTGTTTGGATTTACTGAAAACTGAATGAAAATCATCATCAGCAATAAATCTCCTGTCAACAGCCCAGCTGAAAAAAATCTAACCGGCACCGCCGGTCTTGCCCAGTTAACAAACCGCCCCTGCCTATATATAAATCACAATTGAGATGAGTGGTCACTCTGTTTACCTAGTAGGTAACAATTGAACATCAAGATACACTTGTGACAGAAGTGTCACTCATTTGCTGAGTGGTGGCTACCCATCTGTTTATTTTACCATGGCACTCAGTCTTCCTTATCCTTGTCTGACACATTTCGTTTTGTTTTACCCTTCCCCGCTGTCTTTCTCGTCTGATACACTTCGAACAGTTTAACACTCACAGCAGCCGTGAAACCTCCCTTTCTGCCCTCCCTCCAAAATAAAATACAGATTTTTAAAAATGTTTTCATGGGCCTTAAGACAGTCTTTAGTTGGGATCTCAGACTCAAGAGAATGGTTTGGTTTTTTTATTTTCATCTGTCATGCCTATGACAGCCACCTGTCTAAGATGGCCACTTTACTCCTCCACAAAGGGTGACTGTCTTAGACAATTTCGACTGTATTTCAGTCACAAAAAGAGACAACAGTCTGGAACTTCAAGGAAAAGTTCCTGGAAGACATTGAGAAAAAAGAGGATGAAGCAGAACATCTCTGAACAAAGGTAGACAAGTTTAACCAGACTGTGTGCATGGTGCAAAAGAGAAATTCTAGCACAGGAGCTATCAGTAAGGCTACGCTGGGAAAGGGACATACTTCAAACAAGAAGTTAATAAACAGAACAACAGAGATGTCTATGAATGTGTTTGACAAGCAAAAAGGCTAGCCAGGTTAAAAACCTTACTGCATCATGAGTGCATATATATATATAGTTCACAACATCTAACAAAAGCCCCTGGTGACACAATGGCATAATTCATCTCATGTCAAATTCTTTCTCCAAACAAAAATTTCAGTCTTTACATTGAAGTAGCACAATATAATATCATACAATAATAATACATACACTTGTATTGAACCAAGGAGTCAAACACACTTGCTCGCAGTCCAGGCTTGATGGATGAAAGTTGAATCAACCATTCATATACAGCTTCACGATCATAATCCATTCTAAGTGCAGAATTTATTATCTTTGTCACCTGAAAATTGAGGAAAAACAAAGAAAAAAACATCAAATTACACCATCGCTCTGAGGTAGTTTCTGAGCAATGTGCACAAAAGAAAAGAAAAGAATTCACAGAGAAAAAAAGAAAACCGACCAATTTATACCTGTGACGGCAACTTCTTCTGCAGTTCAGGGTACTGTTCAAGCAAAGAGTCTGCCTCTGAAAATTTCTCTGCAAGAACAAAACAGCGCCACAAGGATGCCCTTGGAGCAGTGATGGGAGGCTCAGCTTCCTCAAGGTCCTTGATGAATTGTTCTATGAGATCTCTGCGATGATCAAAGTGCTTGAGTGTCTGAAGAATAAAACATGTAGTGAAAAATTTGTTCAACATACGAGGAAAAATTGGGGCAGTAAAGTAAGCATATATATGAATAATTTATCTTAATTTTTCTTTCAGACATGTGCAACCTAGACATGAAAGTAAGGAGGACATAAGTCATTATCAATTATGTGGAATCCAATAGAAGGGAAAAGGAAGTGAGGCCGACTAAAGAAAACACAGAACCAACAAGTGGCAGGGGTTACAAGGAGGTTGTGGCATATATGTGGGAGCTGCTGCTGTTTAAGATATTGGCCCAGGATCAAGATGCATGGAGAGCTCTTGTCGGGATGTCTAAGGCACATGCAACCACTGACAAAGTAAGTTAAGTCTTAATAATAAATCAGCATACATACACACTAGAACTGTGCTCATTCAAGATATTCTCTTAACATACACACATAAACACACATGTACTTAGCTATCTAGTCTTACCTTCACATGCAGCAAAAATCACTGGCACATACAGTAAACACACACACACACAAAAAAAAAAACATACACAAAACCACACACACACACACACATACAGTGACCTTTTCTATTACCATTGTGCACAGTAATGTAAAGAACATATCAGCATCCTCAAAGTCTCGTGTACCATGGTACACAATCCTGAGCATTCCAACTCCCTCTTCAATACGACCACTATTGAAGTATGCATCACGTAAACTTTGATAGAACCGCTGATTGGTTGTCAGTCCATGATCTTTTAAAAATGCATGTACCTCAAGAAGACATTCTACCTGAAAGTAAAAATAAAAATATAAAAATGTTGTCTACTTAGTAAAATACACATTTCTAATCTGAGGGGGGGGGGGGGGGGGGAGGGGGGAGTTCTATCAAAATTTCATTGGTTGAAGATATCATTCAAATTGTATTTTTAAAACATTAAAAGATTCAACAGAACTCTCATACAAAATCAAAAGTCTTCATCTAAGAAAGACCAAAATAGAACTCATTATATTTTATAAATGTCATCAATTTGATAAGTAATGGAACAAATCCAACTTACGTAATACAAACATTGCCATTTTTGTGACTACACAAGATCTGAATTAATAGAATGTATATATTATATTTTTTATATATATATAATCCATGCTCAAACCAAAATGTGAAAGAGATAGGGGCGAATATGTTTCTCACTTTGAAAACTTTTTGAAATAATTCTCACCTCTCCAAGGTTTGCCAGTTGTTGCAACAGGTCAAGAACTACAGTCTGATCAGGAATCACACCAACCTCCACAGCTCCTCTCAAGGCTAGTACAGCTTTCTCCATCTCCCACATCTCCATGAGAGACATCAAATGTTTTTCCACACTTTCAAATGCTGGTGCTTCACTGTCATTGTCAAGTGGAGAAATTAGATGTGGAAGCATTTGTTTGATGTACTTAGTGGACTTGGATGAGGCTTGCTGTTTATTCTTTACTCTGGGACTCAGTTGTGGAGCTTTCATAGACTTCTCCGACTGCTGGACAAGGCTCATCAGATCATTGAACACTGCATTTTTGTCCCCAGAGCTGGAACTTGAAAAAGCCCGATTGACAAAAAAATGATTTTTATTCAAGCTGCCAGAAATGTGGCGTATAGTCCAAAATCGAAAACACAGTAATGACTGACTGGCTCGAACATTGAAAATATTTTGGCATGAAAGTTTTCTCCCGTTACCAAAACACAGTTTCTTGACAATTACATAATTACACCCATCAACATGGCAAAGATCTAGATCTAGATGTTTTCTATCAACAGAAGGGGAGATTAACTCCTTATTGACACCAAGTCCACGAGCATGAAAGTCCACAGACAGATTTGTCTCCACACGAATATTATTAAAACAATCATAAAAAGTATGGATATGGGCATAGAGTCTTGGGATGTTCCTGCTGCTAATGAAATGGTACAGGACTTGTACCTTCTTCATTGAAAGAGTCACATCATTACAACACCAACCTCTGTCAACCTCCTTAGTCTCATTCTGTTGGATGTCACTGTTGACAGGATCTCTAATTTGGCACTGTCTTCCAAAAATGCCAGACCTTTTACTTTTGTTGCTACTCTCATTTTGATGCAGAAGTTGAAAAGAACTGAGGGTCTTTACAGAATTGGACATCAACACCCTCAGTTGACATTGGTGAGAGGAAAACCCAGCAGTGGACGTCAAAACACGGCGCCTCCTAAACAATGAAAACAAGCGGGATACATGATCTAGATCTAGAGCTGTGGGAATTTGCTTCATTTTTCGTCTACAAGAACATCTGAGCGGGAGACTGAGTGAGAGATCGACCCCCTCTTCACCCTGCTACGTCGTATGAAGATAAGAAGGCGTATAGGCCTACCTTGATCTTGAACGTGCGTATAGGCCTAGTGTACATCTAGAATCTATGTCTTGAACAGAAACAATCGGAATCAATCGCAACCGTTCCTGCTGACAACTCGATCACTCAGTAGTCTGGTCAAGTTTTGTCTGTGATCTGTGTGTCCGTCAGACTGCAAAATGTTTAGATCTAAAATCTAGATATAAACACTTTCGGTTTCGGTTCTAGATCTAGAATCTAGATCTAGATATATAGGCCTAGGCCTTTTTTCATTTGTTTTGAAAATGTTTTGTTTGACCGACACTGTCAAAGGTGTGCAACTCTCAAAATTCAAAATAGTTTTTAAAATTCTCATTATTAGATCTCTAGAATCTAGCTCCCTTGCACAGAGTCGTTTGAAAGCCGAAAGAAGGGGGGGGGGGTATGTTTAATTCGTTACAATATTTTCTAATAATAGACTAGCCAGTGATTTTCATTCTTTTGTAGGAGTACCATGAATTTTAATAGAGATCTATAGATCTATAAAAGTAGGCCTAAGTTTAAGGCCTTTGGGGGTGTGACGATCATGTGAGAGGTCGCGTCTCGTTCATGCAGCTAAAAATTTATAGGCATATATGAGCTGTGAAATGAGGCCAGTTTATTTAGCATCAGCAATTACAGGAAGAATAAAAGGAAGCGGAAATAGCAAAAAAGTGGTTCCTGCCGTAATTTATTTTGCGGAAACAGGAGCTGCAACGCGCTGCGTGGTAAATGAACGTAGGTTGATCTCATGCTTTGACCTGGCTACTCGCTTTCCCTTGATTCGTCGTCCGTCAGTGCTCAGTACGTCAGTCAGTGTCAGTCATAAACATTGTTGTTGTACGACAGGTTGGAAGTGACAACGCAGAGAAAGGACTTGGCGTCTGTCGCTGTCACTGTTCACAACAATAACAAACACTCGTGCTGTTTCGCAAAGTGACTTTTCAAGATGAAAGCGACTTTTATTTTTCTGTCCATTTTCATAGTCTGTTGCGTGGCTGGTCCAAGATATCCAGTGATTCTTGGTAAGTTTTAAATTTCGCAAGTAGTCTAGAATCTAGACAGGCCTCTAGAATTCTAGATCCTAGATGATCTAGAGTCTAGGTCTAGATCTAGATCTAGATCTAGATTATAGATACATAGATTCTAGATAAATCTAGATCTAGATATAGATTCTATAGGGCAATTGAAACATCTTGACTCTTGACAGACATTTTTGTCATGGAAGTGGCTATCCTCACCCAGGCCAGGGTGAATAAAAAGGAAGTGATTTAATTTATATGACAAAACGTATTGGAGTCACTATAGTGGCTGTCTAAGACAGGTGCTTAGTGTGATAGGGGTTGCGTGTTAAATTATGGTGGCCGCGGCCGCGTTGGACAGGTGCCCGTTTTACACAGTTGAATAATATAGAAAACGAAGTGACTATTTCTCCGAACGTTCGGAGAAATAGTGCCGATCTTTATTTCTCCGAACAGTTTCCGGCTTCCGGTCTCGTGATTTTTTGTCTATTTATTGCGAGAGTTCGGCGCCAACTTTCATTCTGCCTCTGGCCTCTGGTCTGGGAAGGAACACCGCATGGCAAGCCCGCCTACAGACAACCTTCAGTAACACCCACCACCATCATGCACA